TAGTTTATTCCTCCTCAAACATTTGGCCACTCAGAATTCTGGGAACGCAGACTTACTCATTTAAAAAAATAGCAGATTGGAGAAATGCTGTCCTAGATCATTTGAGTAGTAGTTCATTAACCTTCTAGAAATCAATAGTTATACCTACATACCTAGATGTCACCTATATACCATATTTTTGAGTCCCTTTGGGCTGGAATAACAGCCTAACAGTACAACAATAGTTATCATGTAAGTCTAACTTCTTATTTTAGGTTCCTATGCTGGAATAGATGTTGGTATAACCAGTCCTATACCCTGATAACCACCATTCCTGTCCCATTATACTTTCTTATTATGGTACAGGTGTATTCTTGGGAGAGGTAAATGAAGCACACCATGGATATTAGCATAAAAGCCTGTCCAGTGACTGTCCAGTTAAAACAAGCAGGCACATATATTAGGTAACAGCAATATGGGAAGGTGCTGAAGGAGGATGATCACTTTACTGATAAAAGCTAAGTTATCATTTCATACTGTGTGGGAGAAGGCAATTGTAAGCTATCCCTGCATTTTTACAAAGAAAATCCCATGGATAGGCAAGACAAAATGCTTATTGCTATAATGGGCCTCTCAAGATAATAGTTGGGTGGTATTCAACCTGCTGCTGAGGAGGAACTAAGGACCTTTCAGAATATGAAGCAACATTTAGAAATGTTTTCATCCTAGGACTAGGTATACAACAAATGAGACAGGGCTTCATATTTTCTCTTTATTTATTCAACATAGATTGAAATATACTGTACATAAATTGTATATTGAGGCAATTTGGATTGTAAATCGAAGAGTGGCTTTAAAAGTTGAAGAAGAGACATCAATATTTGCACAATACTTACATCACGTTACTCTGATAGGTGAAAATGCAAACGTTCTGCAAACTCTAGATCAGTGTTTCTCAACCTTAGCAAAGATGTATGGACTTCAACTTCCAGAATTTCCCAGCCAGCCATATTGGTTAGGGAATCCTGGGAATTGAAGTCCACACATTTTAAAGTTCCCAAGGTTGAGAAACACTACTCCAGAAAATGAAATGACAGAGTAAAAACTGTTGATCACACTTTGGCCTGATTGGGAAGTGAAGTAATTCTGCAACATCGATGATGATGATGATGATGATGATGATTGTGGTACTTTGGTACTCATCATTAATTTGTTCCAGGAGGTGCATTGAGTGCCAAAAATGATGACAAAACAAATTTTTCTCATAAAGAATAATGTAATGAATCACTGTAATGTAAGTCATTGTAAGTCAATGCAATGACAGTGGACACAGAAAAATTTATTGATTGATTGATTGATTGATTGATTGATTTGATTTGATTTGATTTGTCGATCGCTTATAAGATACAGGTATAAGAATAAACATAGTTATGAATACATGAGATAGATACTTATAAGAAAAATAAAAAGAAACAATAGGACAGGGACGGTAGGCACAATTGGTGCGTTTATGCATGCCCCCTACAGGCCTCTTAGGAAGGGGGTGAGGTCAATAGTAGACAGTCTAATGTTAAAGTTTTTGGGGGTTTGGGGAAGAAACCACAGAGTCAGGTAGAGTATTCCAAACATTGACCACTCTGTTGCTGAAGTTGTATTTTCTGCAATCAAGTTTGGTGCGGTTAACCTTGAATTTGTATCTACTGTGTGCTCTTGTATTGTTATGGTTGAAGCTGAAGTATTCATTTGCAGGTAGGACATTGCAATGTATGATTTTATATACTATATTTAGATCAGACTGGAGGTGGTGTAGTTCTAGTTTTCTAGGTCTAGAATTTCAAGTCTGGTGGCATAAGATATTCTGCAACGAGTAGAGGAGTGTAGAACTCTTCTTGTGAAATATTTCTGGACTTTCTCAGTTGTGTTATTATCAGATACATAATGTAGGTTCCAGACTGATGAGCTGTATTCAAATATAAGTCTAGCAAATGTTTTGTATGCTCTAGTTAGTAGTGTGATATTACTAGAGAAGAAGTTAGGTAGGATTAGATTAACAACTCTTAATACCATTTTGGCTATGTAGTTACAGTGGGCTGTAGCACTTAGATCATTGAAGATGAGTACTCCAAGGTCCTTGACAGAGTCTGGATCCTCAACGAGGTCTTGACTATATAGCTTGTATTTTATTTTCTGATTTTTTTGCCAATATGTAAGACAGAGCATTTATTTGTTGAGATTTGAAGTTGCCATTTGATTCACCAATCTGATACATAGTCAAGGTCTTTTTGGAGGGTAGTAGTATTGTCTGTGGTGTTGAATAGCTTTACATCATCAGCGAAGAGAACGCAGTTGCTCTTAATATGATCACAGAGGTCATTTATGTAGAGTATGAAGAGAGTTGGTCCTAAAACACTGCCTTGGGGGACACCACTGTTGACAGGTATAGAATTTGATAGGACGCTCCCAATTTTGACCATTTGTTGTCTGATTGACAGGAATGCTTCTAGCTTGTGCATTAAGTACCAAAGAAAACAATGAGTACTGGGACAAAATTTTCATGTCAAAATGCACTGATACCAAATTGGGTGAGTTTCAAAGCAGTTGAGCACCAAGCTACCACTGTATTCCTGTTCTTTTCCATCATTTTTGCAGATAACCATGCAGTGTGAGAGGAAAAGACAATGAGACTGAGGAGAACATTTTTTTCTGCCAAGCTCTTTCATATGAATATGAGAAGGGGAATAATTTAATGATCCAATTCTCATTCTATGTAAAGGAAAGGTCATTCTTTGAGGACCTTTGGCTGAGTTTATAATTGTGCAGTAAAAAGGCAATAGTAAAAATAGTAATAAAAATGAAATCACATATAGCTATCAAACCAGCAGAGGGAGTTTGAACATAGAGAATTTTACAGAAAAAAGTAAACTCTCTGACATTTCGTTATGTTTTTACTCAAGAACATGATGTGAAGTGCTACCCAGTGGTGGGATTCAAAATTTTTACTCCTGGTTCTGTGGGCGTGGCTTGGTGGGCGTGGCAGGGGAAGGATACTGTAAAATCTCCAGTCAGAGGTGGCATTTGCTGATTCTCTGAACCACTCAAAATTTCTACTACCGGTTCCCCAGAACTGGTCAGAACCTGCTGAATACCCACCTCTGGCTAGAACAGTTGCATGAGAACAAAAATGCTGTGAAGAAAAATAATCAAGGAGTCAGATCAGTCTCTTTCCCACATATTGAGAGCCTTGGCAGGGAATATTTTTGAGCATTAGAAGAGTTCTGTGTTTAGATGCTACTATAAGCAACTACGCAGGCTTAATGTGAATTATTGGTTTTCAACATCAGTTCTTACCTTTGTGATGAAGTAATACTTTTAAAAACAAATACTAGTCCTAGAGTTTTGTACAAGATTTCTCTGCATAGTGCTCTAAATTTGAATTGATCTTAGTAAGATACAGGCAGACAGGAGCTAAGACAAAAGGATAAATGGAAGCATCTGTGTTCACTCCCTCTCTCCCAGGAAAGGGAAAACAAAAACTGTTTGTGGATGTGCCCTCATTTTCACTTTTCAAAACTGAGCCAGTCTTGTAATGGCCCATGATTATGCTGGTGACATTGTTTCAGGAAATTCAGATAAGCCAAGCACAGTAGCATTAAGGTCTGCCAAAATGTGCCCCCAGTCACAGGGGCTATGGTGACTTAACGATTTTGTGGATCACAGAAAGCCAGGGACTCTAGGAACAGGATTGGCAGAAGTTTCCACAATGGGAAGAAGCCCACTTATTCTGGAGCTTAGCATACCTCCAGAATCATGGTTTGAGCTGGAAACAGGTAAACCAGAAGAAAATTGTATCAGCATTAGCGGGGAGGTCATAGGGTGATATGGATGCAAGGTAAACTGAACAGAGCCAAAGGCTACCTGCTGAAGTGCTCTTGGAGATGATTTGAAGTTAATATGTAATTGTTTTTATTCTGCAAGTTTGAAATGCTGAGAACAAAGAGCAAAGCCCATGACTGCACCCAAATCCCTTCTCTCTGTTTCAAGGAAGGGGATGGGAAGAGAAGAGAACTTAGTAACCTGAAGTGAGTAAACTGATGTAAACAATTCATTTTTACACCATGTTTTCCTGTGAACTATTGAAAGAGAGTTATAAATCTACCAAGTTTAATTACATTGCAGGAGGAGAGCCATGTTAGCTTATGGTAAACCCCAAAGCAGGAGTCTGGTAGCCCCTTTTCCAGCTAAACATTTTATTTAAAGTTGTATTTCCCCAAAAATTATGCATGTGATGAAGTGAACTATAGCTTGATTGGTTGATCGATCGATCAATTTGATTTGTTTGCTACCCACTCATCTTGAAATTTATGACTTTCAATAAAATGTTCCAGTAGGAAAAAAGTACTTCCAGACTCTTTCTCTCACAGTACTTACAGTTCTGGAAGCAAAAGCAAAGGTGAGAATGAATGAATGAAGCAACTAAAACGAAAAATCCTCAACCTTAATTCTGTAAGTAGATTGTGGCTCACGTAGAAAAAAAAAAGAAGCAACTCCACTCTCCAACACTGATGATACAATGGAAATATGGAGGTCCAGAGCTGCTTTAGACCCAGAATATGGAAATGTCCCATGTGAGAAAACAACAACAAGAAATTGGGAAGTTTGAGATCATTTCAAACAGTCTCTGAGCTAGGATTATTCATACTGAAGGCTTTCAATGTGTTGGACTTCAGTTCCCATAATTTCTATCAAGTCCTCCGTGGCCATGCTAGTTGGCATTATATGTTGAAGAAAGTAGGGACAATCTGCCTTTTGGAAGTAATCCTGGTATTCTAGATAGTTTCACTTCACTGTGGAGGAAAGACATTTAAAATGATCTTCACCTTTGCAGTTCTTAGGTCAATTTTTCATTAATTTGCTCTTGTTTTTCAGAGGGCTAAAGCCAAAGCAGAAGTTAGATGCAGACCACCAGAAAGACAAATATAACTTGTTCATGGGAAGAGACTAGTAGGAAAATACTTATTCTTACTATTAATTTATAATGGCCCATATAACACATAAAAGAGTTTCCTTCTTAGCTTGGATTCAATCTTGGCATCTCAACTAAATCATGATTTTGTCCATGTAGCATCTAAGAAAGAATAGTTGTGCCATGTATGATGGGAAATGATCACAGATCACACCTCAGTTACTATCATGAAGATTGCCAAATTCTTTTCTATTACCATCTCTCTCTATGCTGTCAAATGATAACTGTGTTTTTGTAGATGATTTGTACAGGTGATCCTTGTCTTAGGACCAAATGGTTCTGTTCGAAATTACAGTGGTGCTTAAAAATAGATTTACATCAATAGATCAGTCCTCAAAGTTCTAGCTTTGATCATGTCCCATAATTATCACAATCTAGTTGCTCAGGTGTCCAACTCACAATTTCAACATCACAGCAGACACATTATATGATGGCCATTTGCAACCTTCCCTGATGTCTTCCCACAAAGAAGTCAAGGAGGAAGCTGCCAAAGAAAGTGACAAGTTGCTCCAGTCAGTCTTCCCTGCTGCTTTTTCTACTTAGGAGCCCACTGCAGAGTATGAACTCATGCTCCATAGTAGCCAATATGCCTGTCCTCCATGGTGTGCACCAGCCCAGAGCAATCCCCTCTCATGGTCCCTGCTGCCCTGCGCATGCTCCCTAGGATTTACCCTCAGCCCCTTTTGCACTCCTTACCCGGGACTCCTGCCTTTTCCAGCTTAATAACCTGCACATCCTGGGATTGTTGTCATATTGCTGGGGACTGCTGGGATCGCTATTGATAAGTGTTATGGTCACATGACATTGCACTTTATGGATCACATTGCTTAGCGAGAGCAATCCTGGTCCCAATTGCCATCATAACACGAGGATTACTTTATGATTTGAATTCCATGTTGATGTTAGGATAGTAAGGCTGACATTCTTTTATCCTATGTATTGTCCTGAGCCCTAGGTTTATTTACACATAGCGACACTTTATAGAACATGTGTAAGTCTTCAGCCATTTTATTTCAAAAGATACTAGATTAAAATTATCAAGGAAAACTTAAACTCAGATTTGCAACATCAATCCACTTACCCAGTAGAAGGCAATTTCCTTCCACATCTTGCAGTACTTGGACCAGAAGAGTCAATTTGATATGAGCATTTGTAACTATGAGTAAGGAAATGATATTTATATAAACCTATTTGTCTACTTTCATGTAGGTTTTGAACATTTCCCATGTGCTGTGCACCCATTGAGACACTTTATACTGCCACTATAAAATGTCTGGCTCAACCCTCTGTTTTATTTATTTATTCAATTTCTACAGCCATCCAACTCTGCACACATATCAAAGAGATCAAGATTAAACCTACCTGTTCTAAATCCAGGTGAATTGTGCAATTCTACTCCTTTTCCTTAGGTTAATTTAGCATTAATTCATTTTTACACTGTGTTCATTATTATACCATTATACGAGAAATCCCAGTTTTCTGATCTTTCTGTGTAATTAAAATTGTACAGTCTGCCAACATTTTCCTCTTTGGGTCTACTTTGTAATCTATAAGTCCTATAAGACAAGGATCTATATTATTCTTTTATCAAGAATCAAGAATTTAAATCCAATGGTACAGAAAAATCTTAGAATTTAATGGCAAGATGATTAATTATCAGTCAATACACAATAAATCTAGTATATCTAATATATAAATAAAAGAGTATAAAAGGACAACTGATCATGAGAGAATCTATTTCTTGGCAAGCTAGAAAAATATCGGATAGACAGCATCATCACAAAATGCATTTGTAAGGAGCTGTGGTGGTGCAGTGGTTAGAATGCAGTACTGCAGGCTAATTCTACCAACTGCCAGGAGTTCAATCCTGACTGGCTCAAGGTTGACTCAGCCTTCCATCTTTCCAAGGTTGGTAAAATGAGGATCCAGATTGTTGGAGGCAACACGCTGACTCTGTAAAACTGCTTAGAAAAGGCTGTAAATCACTGTAAAGCAGTATATCATTCTAAGTGCTATTGCTAGTGCCAATTGGCTGACAAATCTTACTCAGTGTGTAGTCCTCAACAGAACTAACATCTACATGGAAGCAATGGGGGTACCCCAAGGTTCCATTTTGGGCCCCAAACTCTTTAATATCTTCATAAACAATTTGGACGAGAGAATAGAATGGTAACGCATCAAATTTGCAGATGACACTAAGTTGGCAGGAACAGCCAATACCCAGGAAACAAGCTGACGATCCAAAAAGATCTTGACAAATTTGAACATTGGGCCCTATCTAACAAAATGAAATTTAGTTTAGATAGAAGTAAGGTTTTACACTTAGGCAAGAAAAAACTGTATTACAGGCTAGGTGAAACTTAGCTTAATGCCAGTAACTATGAGAGGTATCTTGGAGTCCTAATAGACAATCAAATATGAGCCAATAGTGTGCAGCAGCAGCCAAAAGAGGCAAGAAAGAATCAAGATCACATGAAGCTCTAGTACCATCATCACAATATAAAAAAGATGTTGAGAGTCTGGAAAGATGCAAAAAAGAACAGGAAAAATGATGAGGAGTCTGGAAGATAAAACATATGGATAATGGTATGTCTAGTCTACTGAAAAGAAGAACTAGGCAAGACATTATTGCAGTGTTCCACAATCTGAAGGGTTGTCAGAAAGATGAGGGGGTCAAACTATTTTCCAAAGCATCAAAAGGCAAGTCACAAAATAATGGATGGAAACATTACAACTAAGGAGAAATTTCCTAACGGTGAGAACAATCAACCAATGGAACAGCTTGTCTTCAGAAGTTGTGTTTACTTTTTCCCTGGTAAAAGGTCTTCATTTGTTCATATACATGACATTTCAAAAGGTAATGGGGAGGGCTGAGACTTATCTGGTCATCCTTAAATCTAAGCTCTGTGTTTCAGTCTTGGTGTTGAAAAAACAATCTCATCAGTGGTGGGATTCAATTTTTTTTACTACTGGTTCTGTGGGCGTGGCTTGGTGGGCATAGCAGGGGAAGGATACTGTAAAATCTCCAGTCAGAGGTGGTATTTGCCAGTTCTCTGAACTACTCAAAATTTCCACTACCGGTTCTCCAGAACTGGTCAGAACCTGCTGGATACCACCTTTGAATCTCATGCTTTCAGAATCCAAGATTACTAAAGAAAGGGTGGAGGGCACATCCATTAATCTGTAAGTTTCTTCCTTACATCCTCTCCAAAGGAACTGGAAGCAGCCAGATAGTAGTGGCCGTGTTGGTGCAGTGGTTAGAATGTAGTATTGCAGGCTAACTCACTGCTCATTCCAGGAGTTCAGTCCTGAGCGGCTCAAGGTTGACTCATCCTTCCTTCCTTCCGAGATCAGTAAACTGAGAACCCAGATTGTTGGGGGCAATATGCTGACTCTGTAAACCGCTTAGAGAGGGCTGTAAAAGCACTGTGACCATCTGTGTTTCAGATACATGGAAAAGAATCCTAAAAGAATCCTAAAGTATAATCTGCTTTGCATGCAATCCATTTTTGAACCATCTGTTTTCCCCATCTCTTTGTGAAAACGATGACTTTTATCTGCTGCAATGAATGCACTTGGCTTCCTCTTCACAATTCTTGGCAAGGGCTTGCAACACGTCCTCAAATGAATCTGGAGCACAGGGAGTATTACTTAGGTAATTTACATATCAAGGCATTATCAACTAATACGTATGTGTGCGTATTGTTTACCACAGAGTGGATAAGCATCCTTGCCTATATCTTATCTGTGTTGGTTTAGAACCAATTTATTTATTGTGATAATTATGGTACATCTAATTCACCCTGAAATATTACAGAATAATTACCTGAGAATATTTATTTGTTTACAGAGTTTAAAGCTGTAGAGAAAGAATGGGAATCTTGTAGCTTTCCCAAAATTGCTGAATTACAGCTCCAGCAGTCCCAACCACTGTGGACAATGTGTTGTGGTTCACCAGCAGCTGGTGCAGATGGCTGTGGAGTCGGACAGTGAGGAAGAAAGGGAATCTGAAGAGGACTTGGATGAGGGTCCTGAGTTCAATGCAGGGATGGGGCCAGGACCATCTGGGAGTGGGTTGCTGACTCCGGAGCCTCTGGAGTCTGGGAGCAGCGAGGCAGAGGACCCAGGGGAGCCAGTTCCCAGTGCGCATGTGTGCAGAACTGCTAGAAGGCAAGAGCAGCTGAGACAAAAGGGGCGACTCGGGAATAAAGCTGGGAGGTGATTGCCCCTCCCATAAGGAATAAAAGTCAGGCCTCAATGATGAAAACTTTGCAGGAAGCAAAGCAGTTCAATTAGATTCCGAGTCTTTCTTGAAAGTCTGCGTACTCTGGTCTTTTTTTTCTGAAACTTCACATGCGTTCTGTTAGAATTACTTTGAAGACTTCTGTTTTTGGCAGCATTCCCCAGCACTGACAAACGTGGGCTTATCTTGAGGAACTGTGTATACTGAGTTCTGGCTGGAAATGAAAGTCATTCCCAGTGTGGCATTAAAATAGGTTTTGCTTTTGAAACAAGTTTGTGTTTCAGTATGCTTGATGAAGCCTGGGTCAGAACACAATGTTGGGAGATGGTGGGAGTAGTACATGATCAACAGCTACAGGAAGTTCCCCACTTCTGCAAAAATATAATTGTCCTTTTCATAACAATATAGCTCGTCATCTTTTTCAATGATAACATTTTTATTTTGGCAGGCTGCTATTTTTTTTTACAGAAGTCATAATCTGATATGACATTATAATGCAAGAAACAACTTAATGTAGAAAGTGTAAATCTGAAGCCACTGTGAAATGAGGAAGCAGTTGGAAAATGATTATCTTTGTTGGGACACCCAGTTCAAGAGAGGAGTTTCTCAACCCATAAGATAATTTTCTTTCAGCATTATGAGAATGCAAATGTGCAGAGATGTGCAATTATGGACAGGAAGATAAAGATCAAAGAAAGTAAAGGGGTGTTATACCAACTTGAATGTAGAGATTCCATTATCACAATCCTGTCCTTTTGGGAAGCATTTTAACCTAAGTATTTAAGTATGCAAACAAGATAGGCTAATTTAATTTCACCATCAAGGAGATTAGAGGCAGGTGGCTGATCAATGCTGCACAAAACAACACCTGGAATACTGCATCCAGTTTTGGTCAGTACATTACAAAAAGATGTTGAGATTTTGGGGAGAAATGCAAAGAAGAATGACTAACATGATTAAAGGCCTGGAGACAAAAGCATATGAGGAACAGGGTATGGCTAGTCTACAGAAAAGAAGACTAGGGGTGATTAGAATAGAATAGAATAGAATAGAATAGAATAGAATTTTTTATTAGCCAAGTGTGTTTGGACAAATGCTCTCAGTATACACAAAAGAAAAGATACATTCATTAAGAATCAAGAATCATCAGGTACCACACTTAATAACAGTCATAGGGTACAATAAGTAATCAAATCATACTAGGAAACAGTCAATATAAATCGTAAGGATACAAGTGACAAAGTTACAGTCATACAGTCACAAGTGGGAGGGGATGGGTGATAAGGAGTGATGAGAAGGTTAATAGTAATAGTAGTGCAGACTTTGTAAATAGTTGGACAGTGAGGGAATTATTTGTTTAGCAGAGTGATGACATTTGGGAAAAAAACTGTCCTTGTGTCTAGTTGTTCTGATATGCAATGCTCTATAGGGTCATTTTGAGGGTAGGAGTTGAAACAGTTTATGTCTGGGATGTGAGGGGTCTGTAAATATTTTCACAGCCCTCTTTTTGACTTGTGCAGGTCCCCGATTGAAGGCGGGTCGGTAATAATTGTTTTTTCTGCAGTCCTAATTACTCTCTGGAGTCTACGTCTGTCTTGTTGGGTTGCAGAACCAAACCAGACAGTTTGATATGATTGTAGTACTCCAGTTCTTGAGATCTGCCACAAAGAGGAGGAGGTGAATGTATTTTCCAAAGCACCAGAAGGAAAGACAAGAAACAATGGGTGGAAATTAACCAAGGAGAGAGAAGCAACCTGGAATTAAGGAGAAACTTCCAAACAGAGAGAACAATTAACTAGTGGAACAGTTTGCTTTCAGAGGTTGTGGGTGCTTCATCACTGTATGTGCTTGAGCCGGGGTTTGGATTAGAAGACCTCCAAGGACCCTTCCAGCTCTATTCTAAGTAGATTAAAGAAAGAGAGGCAAGGAAGAAGGAAGGAAAACAGACTGGAGGCCTGCCAGTTTACCTTGTTTGCTCCCTCTGGTCCATTTGCATCCCTCTGGCCTTCAATGAGGAACAAGTAAAACAACTTTCACAATCTGTGAGGAGCAAAACAATTATCAGATCAAAAGAAGGAGAACCCAAAGGTGCTTTTTCAAGAGGCAACTGGACTTGGGGGTTTTCTTTGAAGACATTTCATTTCTCATCCATGAAGCTTCTTCAGCTCTGACTAGGTGGTGGGGAATGGAATACCATATAGGTCTTCTAAATGAAGGGAAGTAGACCTGTTACAACATCAGAGATCCATACCAAAAAATGTAGATTTCTCGTTTGCAAAGGTGTTCTTTCACACACATGCATGCATGCTGACATTTTGGAAATGACACTGCCTTGGTGGCAAAATACTGTTTAAATGAAGAGATATTGACCTTTGACTAAAATCAAAAGCTGTTTTTATTTCTCCATTACTATGAGCAGCTGCCAGAAAACTCAAGTTCTTCTAAACATAAAGTTTGGCTGTAAATACCTACTTCTTGGTAAGCTAGAAAAATGTGGGATAGACAGCATCACCACCAGATCTATTTGTAATTGGCTAACAAACCATACCCAACCAGTTATCCTTAATGGTACTATATTTACAGGAAGGGAAGTAAGCAGTCGGGTATCACAAGGTTCCATCTTAGGCCCAGTACTCTTCAATATCTCCATAAATGAGGGAATAGAAAGGGAACTCATCAAATTTTCAGATGACACTAAACTGGCAGGAATAGCCAACACCCCAGAGAACAAGCTCAGGATCCAAAAAGATCTTGACAGACTTAAACAATGGCCTCTATCCAACAACATGAAAGAGAAACGCAAGGTTTTACACTTAGGCAGGAAAAATCAAAGCTATAAGTACGGATTAGCCAAAATCTGACTCAAAAACTGTAACTATGAGGGGGACCTTGGAGGCCTAGTGGACAATCGCTTAAATATGAGCCAGCAGTATGCAGCAGCCACCAAAAAAGCTAATACAATCCTTAGTTGTATAAACAAAGGCATAGAATAAAAATCACATAAAATATTAGAACCATTTCATAAGGTCTTAGTAAGGCCACACCTGGAATACTAAATCCAGTTTTGGTCAGCACATTACAAAAAACATGTTGAGACTTTGGTATCTAAAACATATGAAGAACGCTTGCAGGATTTGGGTTTAGCTGGTCTAGAGAAAAGAAGGATTAGGGGTGATATGATAGCAGTATTCCAATATTTGAGAGATTGCCACAAACAGAAGAGGGTCAATTTATTTACCAAAGCACATGAGGGCAGGACAAGAAACAATGGATGGAAACTAATCAAGGAGAGAAGCAACCTGGAACTAAAAATAAACTTCTTAACAGTGAGGATAATTATCAGAAGTTTCTAAGCAGAGACTGGACAGCCACCTAATGTAAAAGGGTATAGGGGTCAGACTAGAAGACTTTGGTCCCTTCTAGTTCTATTCTGATTAATATATGTCTATGGAGATTATCAGTCATGCAGGTCATGGTTGTCCCAGAGGTGCTTTTCAAGAGGCAACTGGACTTTCTGGTTTTTCTTGGAAGACATTTCGCTTCTCATCCACAAAGTTTCTTCAGCTCTGACTGGATGGTGGGAAATGGAAGGATTTCTACTCCTTGCAGACAGCTGGTAATTTGCATTCTTTTATTGAGTTGTTAAGGCCACCTGAAGGTTTATCTGTGTTGTCAGGGTCACCTGAGTGGTGCAAATGGGTATGGAGCCTTCTTGGAACTATTGAAAGGTATGTTGTAGACTGGAGATAGATTATGTCAAATCCCTCCCCCTCTGTTTCAATTTTGACATAGATGGCCTCTTTGATCAGTCTGTGTCTAGAAGTTGTTATTATTTTAAAAAAATGAAGTTGCAATAAGATGTATTTGTCATACTTGGGTTGTCCCACATTTGTTGTATTGAGGTGGAAAAAAATAAAATCAAAGGCATCTGGGAGCATATGAAATCAGAAATAGCTCCTTCTGTGTTCAACTGGATTATCATCTAGGTCAGCCACTTTAAGATGTGTGAATTTCCCCAATCTGGGGAATCTTAAAGATGTTGAGGTTGAGAAAAATTCATCTAGATGAATGATTACAGGACTATAGTCTAGGCCCCCACTTATGGAAGAATTTTAAAGAGATTCACCCATAAATTGGGGATGGGATTATCATTGTTGCTTGTGCCTAGGTCAGGGAACATACAAATGAAGTCAGTAACCCAAGCCCTTTGAACTATACCCACAAGCACAATGAAAGCTAGGGCAGCTGTTTTGGCAAGGGGATCAGGAGATTCCTGTACCTACCTAGCCATTAATGTAATCTGACGCACATAGTAAAGGGCAGGATTCCCATTGTTCTTTCATCAGAGAGGGTTGGCTTAAGAGTGATAGCAGTGGCTTTTTCATTCATCTTTTCAATACTGTACATCTAAATTGGGGAACAGTTTTTCATAGGCATATTATGTAAGAATATATGTGTGTATATTCTGTGAAGAAGATTAGAGATAGATAGATAGATAGATAGATAGATAGATAGATAGATAGATAGATAGATAGATAGATAG